AGGAGCCACCAGAAGCTACAAGTGAGGCATAGAAGTGATTGGCCCTCAGAGCCTCCAGAAGGAATCAGCCTGTTAACACCTTGATTTTGAACCTCTGGCTGTGTCTGAGTTCAGGCTGCCATAACTAGATACCACAGAATGCATGGCTTAACCAACAGAAATTTATCTTCTCACAGACCTGGAGGCTGGAAATCTGAGGTCAGGATTCCGGCAGGCATGGCCGGGTTTTGGCACGGGCCCTCTTCCTGACTTGCTGACGGCTGCCTTCTCACTGTGTCTGCACACAGAAGTGAGCAGAGAGAGATAGCAAGTGTTTCTCCTTAAAAAGCACTAATCCTGGGGGTGCCAGGGCAGCTCAGTTGGTTGAGCACCCGACTCTTGATTTTGGCTCAGGTCGTGATCCCAGGGTCGTGAGATTGAGCTCCCTGTCAAGCTCTGTGCTGACTGTGGAGCCTGCCTCGGATTCTCTCTCCTGTCTCTGCACCTCTTCCCTGCTCGCATGTTCTCTCTCTTTGAAATAAAAAGTAAATAATAAAGTAAAAAAAAAAATCAATATTATTCTTAAAAAAAAAAAAAGCACTACTCCTGTTGTGAGGATCGTACTCTCCTGATTTCATCTAAGCCTACATCCCAAAAGTGCCATCTTCAAATACCATCACACTGGGGGCCATGGCCTCAGTGTGTACATTTCAGGGGGACACAATTCTGTCCGTGGCAGACCTCCAGAATGGGGAGAGAATAAACTTCTGTTGTTTTAAGCCACCCAGCTTGAGGCACTTGGTTATGCAGCATTGGGGCACTGAGGCGATGCTCCTGCTCCCTCCTCACCGGGACCACCACTCCTGAAGAAGACTTAGGGGCTGCGGTTGGGGGCTACGGCCGGGGCACCGGCTTGGGGAGGCTGTGGATGCACACAAACGGTGTGACAGTGGCCTGGGCTCATGGGATCTGGACTCAGTGACTCCAGAAGACCAGCACTGAGCAGAAGTGGGCCGGGCTGGTGTGGGCGCCGCTCACCCTTGACTCCGGCACTGAAGGCTGGGACCCTGCGCTGTCCTTGGAGGTGACTGATCACCACAAACCTGTCCTGGGTTTCCTGCGGGGCCTTGCAGCTGGCACGGAGCCCTGCACCTGCAGAGCGAGCGGGGCCAAGCAGCCCTGTGCTTGGCAGCCGCTGGGGAGGCATCCACGGGGCGGGGGGTGGGGGGGTGCCACACACTGGTTCGCATGGGTGAGCGTGGGCCACACGGTGCTGCTCCCAGCCTGCCCCTGCGTGCCTCCAGCCCCCCCGGGGGCCCCAGGGAGCCCCTGACCCCTCCCTCAGGCCCCAAATACATCCCCGACCCCAGAACCCGCTTGGAGAAGTTAGAGGAACCTGAGGAGGACAGGAAGCTGCAGTTGCAGGCTGGAAATTACTGGGAGCCCTGCCCACTCCACGTGGCCACGGTCCTCGAAGAGGCAGACATGGTCTGGCTGTTCCAGGAGGCCCGAGCTGACCTCAGCAAACCAGAGCCCGTGTGCAGCCCGCACTTGGCGGTGGAGGCCCACGCGGCTGACTCACTGGAGATTCTGCCGAGGGCAGGATCCCGCCGTCCCCGTGTCCGTGGCTGCATGCCATGGGGCAGCACCACCTCTGGCCCCACCCCTTTCTTTCCGGCTTCCTCTGCACACGTGGAGCCCCTGAACCCAGGGACGAAGGGACGAGGACGGCAAGCCTGGCTCCAGCAGCAGTGGTGACAGCGACAGTGAGGATGAGGGTGTGAGTCAGGAGGAAGGTGGGGCCGACCGGCTGGGGGGCCAGGGTAAACCAGCAGGCAGGAAAGGGGAGAAGAGCTGCGGGGTGGGGCATTGAGACCAGCCTTGGGCTGCCACAGTTGGAGAACTCGGGCTGCAGTCAGGACGGACCCAGGCAGGGGTCGTGGGAAGAAATTGAGGCAATGGCAGAGGTGGGACCCAGGTGGAGGTGCAGAAATGAGCATGGTTGTGGTGACTGACAAACACAAGCAGTAGTGGGGGGCAGCATGGGGTGGCTTTGGGGGTCCAGAGTTGGAGAACTCGGGCCATAGGAAGATAAGCTTGGGCAGCAGTGATCAGACCATGGATGGTGGTAGGGAAAGACCTTAGCCAGCAGCGAGGAGGTTTACTTGGAAAACTCCAGAAGCAGAGACACTCCCTTGGGCAAAGGACCACGTTGAGTGGTGGGGGTTGAGGAATTTGGGTAGACGCAGAGGGAGGGGGTGGAGGGAGACACCGCATGCAGCTATGGCTGCCCAAGAAATGGTGTGGGGCTAGAGCTTGAGCAGCAGCTGTGCGAGAAAGGACCTTGAACATGGTGGTTTGAGAACCAGGAGCAGGGAACTCAGGCTTGAGGGCAAGACTGGTGTAATAAGCTGAGCAGCAGGCAGGGATGGCGCCGTGGTCCCCAGGGACTGAGGCCAGCACGGCTACCTCCCAATAGCCCCAAAATCTCCCCTGGATGACCCCATCTGGTTTGTTTAAATGTTAACATAATTTCTGATTTTTAATAACTTGCGGTTCTAAACAAAACAAATTTCCCAGTTGTGACAACCAGGGCAGAAAAAGAGGCGACTTAGAGATCTGAGCTCTAAAGAGTTTCTGTTTGCACCATCTGTAAATGCACCCCATCCACACTTACCTGCCTGTGTTGTGGTTCCAGGCTGCTCTGGACTTCCCAACAAGTCCTCCTGCTGTGTAGACACAGCCATCTCGTGGATGGAGCTACACGGGGCAGGTGGGCCAAGCCCCCCACAAACACCTGTAGATGGGGAGACCGATTCCAGCACCCCTGCCTTCCCTCCTGTTATGCCAGTGTCTTCTGGACACAGGGCCTGAACTAAGGGAAGAGACTCCAAAGATAGAAACCTTTGATTTGGTAACAGATTGATGGAACAGATATTTAAGGGCTGACGGCGCTACACTGTAACACTGCGCTCTCCACTCAGACTAGTTCTGCTGGGCGAGGAGGCAGTGGATCGCAGGGCCTTTCTCTTCGGGGAGAGAGGGGGTATTTGATGTTAATGGAAACAGCACAAGAGCAGAGTGAGGAGGTCTGGTTTGTCACTAAATTACCCCATGGTCATTTCTCTAAGCCTTAGTTTCCTTATCCTTAAAATGAGAATAGACTTTTAAGTTCCTTCTCTGAATCAATAGTCAGTCCTGGGAGATTAGGCAAGCAGCAGATTCTTTTTTTTTTTTTTTTTTTTTTTCTCTCGTTGTGATAAAAGGTATATATAACAGGAAACTTAAATTTTTTTCATTCTTTATTTTTAATTGTAGTAAAATAGGCACAAAATTCACCATCTTAACCATTTTAAAGCATAGTGGCATTAAGTACATTCGCAGTGTTGTGCAGTCATCACCACTGTCCATTTCCAGAACTTTCCCATCGTCCCAACCTGAAATTCTACCCATTGAGCACTAACTCACCCCTCCCCCTAAACCCTGGCAATCTCTATTCTACTTTCTCTCTCTATGAATTTGCCTATTCTAAGTGCTTCATTTAAGTGGAATCACAAGATTTGCCCTTTTGCGTCTGGCTTATTTCATCAAGCATGTTTTCAAGGTTGATCCATATTGTAACACACAACAGACTTTCCTTCCTCTTTAAGGCTCAATAATATACGTATATACTGCTTTACCACTAATGGACATGGGTTTTGCCATCTTTTGGCTGTTGTGATTATTGCTTCTACTGGCATAGAAGTTCTCTGTTCAAGTCCCTGCTTTCAATTCTTTTAGGGGATATACCTAGGAGTAGAATTACTGGATCTTGTGATAATTCCGTTTTGCTTCTTGAGGAACCACCAGACTGTTTTCCCTTGAGTTTACGCTAAAACGAGGGTACTCTGTCGTGTCACAGGTGTGTGCTGGGGAATTCCATTGGGAAGTAGGTTGAAACCACCTGGGTTCAGAGAGGCTACCCAGCATTGCAGTTCACCACTCTCCCCAGTACTGAGGTGGGTCAGGTGTGTTCTGCTGATCTGAAGGCCACGACTGAGCCCAGGGCTGCATGCTTTCTCCTTCTGAGGTGAACTACATTGTGGCTGGAAAGTAGCTCCAAAGAGAAAGAAGTTTTTCTCCTGTTCACTTGCCTGGGATTTTAGAAATGGTGATGATATGTGCATACATGTCTGATTTCACTGATAGGACTAAGCCCCCAAAAATGACTGGATGAGGACTGGGGAAGAGGGCAGGAGACCTAATTGGGAGGGCAGGAAAGTGGTTGACACTAAGACTAAAGCTCTCAAAATGCTGATGGAAGTTACAGGATGGCCTAGATCACGTGGGGGCGTGTCCAGGGGAGCAAGTGAGCAGGAGATCTGACCCAGCCCTGAGCTGTGAACCCAGATTGGGTCTTGGTTCAAATCTCAGTTCTTCTACTTGCTAGTTTGGGCAATGAACTTAAGCTTCTCGAGTTCAGCTTTCTCATTTGTAAAATAGGGACATTATGAAGTTATGAAGATAAAACCACGTGTGGAAGACCATTCCCATAGGGCCTGGCCCTCACACTCCGTCCAGCGTAGGAAACTAGCTGGCCGTGTTCCTCAAGTCCTGACTACTCAGGTGCTGTGTCAGACTGGGATGCTCTTCCCTCACCTCCCAGTTCGAGAAATCTGCCTTAAAGCATGGAGTTTTGATGCAATTTGCATTTTGATGGCCATTCTAGAACTTATATGTTGCCTTTCTACAGCTTCCTTTCTCTCTGAATCAAATGCCTTATCTTTTGGGGACTGGCAGATGGGTGTTTTAGTTGTGGGTACAAAACTGACTTTTAAGCAAGAGATACATTCTTTTCTTTAAAAAATTTTAAAAACAAACCAACAGAAAACCTCAGTTACTCTGGGTAAAACCCTTCCAGACACCTTTGGACATGAATACGTCTTGTTAATGATCCCATTTCGTTTACTAAAAAGGGTTTCACTCTCCAGGCAGATAGAGCAGGATTAAAGAGAGAAATGATGTGAAAATACTTGGGGCCATAAGCTTATGCAAATATAAATCATTATCATTAATTGTAAATACAGAAAATCAAATGTTTGATAAGTGAGCTGTATCAAAGTAGACCCATCTTCCTATCTTCCCTGCCTTTCCCTACTCCGCCTGGTGCTGGGGGCAGAGGTAGGCTCAGCTCCACTCATCCCTGCTGATTTAGTTCAATGAGCCGACCTGCAAACACAGCTAGGGTTCCAATGATACAGACAAGCATGAAGACTCCAAGGAGAATGTGGTCCATCACCATTGCAACATACTTCCACTCCTCAGCCGCCTGGGAGAGAGAAAAGTGTTAGAATGTCCTTAAGATGGTTATTGGACTCACAGTGTTCATGCATGCATCAATCATGGCCCACTTGAAGCCCTCAACATCCCTTGGCTGGCATTGTGATCTTTATTGTGCTAATGGATTATTCACAGTGTGGCTCACTAAGGTGGCCTAGGGGTGGCCACCAATGCGCATCTTAAGTCAGCAGCTGCCTCTTGAATGCCAGCCTCCTCGTCAAGACAAATCCATCCATCCAAGTTCAAGTATTTGATTATTTAAACCTTGAGGTGTGGATTTCAAGTCATGAAGCTTACGTTATTGGACTCCTGGTCTGACTTCATGGTCTCTGCGATGTATTTGACTCCTTCAATGGCGCTTTTTACCTCGGGGTGTTTGATCAGGGGAGAGTGGAAGCCCATGGGTGGAGGCCCCGGCTTCCCAGAAATGTCAGAGATATCGATGTCTTCTGTAAAAATCTTTTTGTCTTGTTTTTCTCTGGATGGTCTTTTCATTGTGGAGAAGAACATGATATTTGGGATAGTATCGATAAAAACCTAACATGAAAAAGAAATCCATGGATGAATTATTGCCTGTGGTGCGAGTATCAGACTCTGACTTTGAGTTATCAGTGTGAATTTAAGCAAGTCAGTCACCTTCTCTGGACCTTAGCATCTTTGTCCTTAAGACACAAGGACTATACTATAGATTTTCTCAAAAATTCCTTGTGGCCTGTCAAATTACTATGGTTAATAGAGATGATTCTGTAATGTGAGCAGTTCACCACTAGAGGGGGCTTGTGTGCAGCTGTTGGGCTTTATGAGAATGAAGCTAAAGCTTCCAGCCTTCAAGGAACCAGCTTCTTGCAAAGCCTTGTGTTAGTGGGATAATATGGTTAAAGGAAAAGCCCTTCTGGCTAAAAAAAAAAAAAAAATGGGGGGGGGGCTGGACCTCTCTCTCTCTCCCTCCCTCTCCCTCTTTCTCTGTCTCTCTCTCTCTCTGTATATATATATAGGGGTCCAACCTCTAAAATAGCTACACTGGTTTTTTTCTCCCCATTTCTTATTCCTAAAGAAATGCAACATAGCTGTTGCCAGGAGTCATGCAAGTCTTTATAGATACAGGGACTGATTATCCTCCCAAAAGAATACATTGCAAGCGGTAGTCTCTCTCTTAGTTCATGACAAGTCTTTTGCATTCTACAGAAAAGACCCTGGACGTTAGTGTCTCTGTGAAGTTTTCTTTAAAAACTGACATATTTGAAATGCTAACACATTTTAAATTTCAATAATGCAAATATTTGAGACCAAGTTCCTCATGAAAACTCACTTCTTGACAATTTCTTGTCAAGCATCCCCTCTGTCTCTAGCCCTTATTCTGTTCTCAGCAGATGACTTTACCAGCAAAAAATAAGCAATCTGTTCACAGAATGGAAGACCTACACACAGAAATCTCAAGAATTTCACAGAATCTGAATAAAAAGCAATTCACGTACCTTCTCTAATCAAAGAGACTCTTTAAACTTGAATTTGGAGTGGGCTTTGTTAATTCTGTTTTTCTTCTGTGTCTGGGGAGGCTATAGGAATTATTTATCCCTTGAAAGAGACTAAAAGAAAGTTCCTTCCAGAAATCTCCTAAAAACCCTGAGAAAGGACAGTTCCTAAGTGCCCACATGCATTAGCCAGAACTCCACTGGCCCCGTGCAGAGGGTGCAAGGGCCTCACTTGCTCACCTTGCGTACCCAGTCAGGCATGACATGGGTGCTGGGGGAGCGGTGGTGTGTGTTGATGACGATGACTGTGATGATGATGGACGCAATGACAAACACCATGGTGAACAGCATGTATTTCCCAATCAAGGGCACGGCACTAGAGGTGGAAGGGATTAACTCCACAATGACCAGGAGGAACACGGTCAAGGACAGCAGGACAGAGATGCTCAGGGTCATCTTCTCTCCTGGATACAATGAAGAAGGAATACAACCAGGCACATGCTATGGGCTGAATTGTTGTTCTCTTCGATTTTGTACATGGAAGCCCTAAGCCTGAGCACCTCAGTGACTGTATTTGGAGATGAGGCTTGTAAAGAGGTAATTAAGTCAAAAGGAGTTCATTAGGGAGGGCTCTCATCCAATATGATTGGTGTCCTGATAGAAGAAGGAGATTAAGGTGGCTCAGTCGGTCAAACGTCTGACTTCTGCCCAGGTCATGATCTCCTGGTTCCTGGTTCATAAGTTCGAGCCCAGCATCCAGCTCTGTGTTGACAGTGTGGAGCCTGCTTGGGATCCCCTCTCTCCCTCTCTTTCTTTCTCTGTCCCTGCCCCACTTGTGCTATCTCTCTCAAAATAAACAAGAAAAAAAAAAAAAAAGGAGATTAGGACACATTCACACACAGAGAGGAAAGACCCAGAGGAAGACAGGCCACCTCTAAGCCAAGGAGAGAAGCCTCAGAGGAAACCAGACCTGCTGACAGTGTGACCTCCAGAACCCACACGTGTGGACAGAATTCCTGTTGTTTCAGCCACCTGGTCTGTGGTACTTTGTTATGGCAGCTCTGGCAGACTAACATGCCACAAAACCCAAGGGTAAAGGCCATGGGACCCGCATGCAGCTAGGGACATTTTGGGGGCAGAATTTCGTCCTCTGAGACCTTAGGGCCTTAACTGCTGACAATGGGAAGTGGCAGGCATTCCCATTAGAGGCTGCCAGGCAGCCAACAGCTACTTACTCTCCTGCCCCAGCACTCCGTTGCTTGGTGGAACTCAGGCAACCTGAGTACTCAGGCAACCTAAGTACTCAGTACACAAGCTGAGTGACAAGCTAGACTCTGGGTGGTAGTTCTTCAGTCTGCACTAGAACATCGTCAGCCTTACAAAGCTGAACCGTAGCCTGACCTACGTGTGACCCAGCGGATGGATGGGCAACCCAGAAGTGCACATGAACTTCCCTCAGTATGGGAGTGAGCTGCAATACCGAACTCAGTGAACTTTTCACATTCATTTAGAGGACAGTTTGGTTTTTTCTTATTTTGTCTTTCATACTGAGGGACCAGGGACTTCCCTGTCCCAACCTCTTCTCACCAGGTCCTGTAATGTCAGGGTGAACAATTCTCCGTTTGAGTCTTGGTGTGGTAAGCAAGGAGGGCAGGGACTGAATGGCCTTGGAATATTTTTGTGGGGACTGATGGCCTCAGAGCCTTTGGAAGGGACTTTCCTTGGGCTGGTCTTGCGGTTTGCCTTGGGAGACCTTTGTGCTGTCCTGTCCTCCAGTATGGAGCTTTCCCCCATACTGGATGCTTCCAGATGTTAGGAGTGTATATAGGATGCAGAGCGGACGCAAACAAGAAATGATTGATTTTACCTAGTGAGGAAAAGTCTACCTAGTGGATAGGAACGTCCCTAAAAGTGAAAGAGAGGGGGCACCTAGGTGGCTCAGTCAGTTGAACATTTGATTTCAGCTCCAGTCATAATCTCACAGTTTGTGGGGTGCCAGGGTGGCTCAGTCAGTTAAGCATAATCTCACAGTTTTTGAGCTGATAGCACTGAGCCTGCTTGGGATCCTCTCTCTCTGCCCCTCCCCTGCTCATACTCACTCTCTCTCTCTCTCAAAATAAATAAACTAAAAAGAGATAGGTAATTTTTTAAGTGAAAAAGAGGACAGAAATGTAAATATGAGATATCGACCAAGTTACACCAAATTTCTTGAATAATAATAATAGCTAACATTTATCAAGCATTTTTACTGTTCTGCTTTTTAAGCATAAACTGTCTCACATTTATAGAAACTCTGACTAGTTTCCATATTGCCCTAACTAGTATTCTCTTCACTTTACGAAGCTTCATTTGTGAGAAAGTCAGAAACAAATTGGGTTTGTGATCATTTGTTTAAAAATAAGTACAATTGTAAGAACAACGTGTATTCTGTGGGGCAAATTCTGCCTTATTCTCTACTGTATCCGTGCCACATGACAGTTGTTCAACAAATCTATGTTAAATGAGTGAATGCATAATATTTTCTTCCTTGTTAGAAAGTTGGACTTAGGTGTGTGTGTGTGTGTGTGTGTGTGTGTGTGTGTGTATCATTTTGATATAACTATTCCCTGTCGTAAGTTTGAGGACTGTCTGTATCACCTTTCTTTGTCCCTACTTGTCTGCCCTAAATTGTTTATGAGTGGTGACTTCTTGCAGGCACTTGTGTACCTCTTTCCCCTTTTCTGGGGATTGTTGGGGTTTGTTGAAATTATGTCACAGCTATGATCACTCAGTAGAAAGTAAGGAAGTTGCCCGGGCTGATATGTGAGAAAGAATTGCCACTTGGGAAGTATGGTCTTGTCTGGAAAACAGACATGCAAAAGCTATTTTCAAGTGGCAAGCAGTGAGCAAAAGAGGCAAGACCTGGGGGCGCCTGGGTGGCTCAGTCAGTTGAACTTCCGACTTTGACTTAGGTCACAATCTCACAGTTCATGGATTTGAGCCCTGCATCAGGCTCTGTGCTGACAGCTCGGACCCTGGAGCCTGCTTCAGATTCTGTCTCCCTCTCTGCCTCTGCCTGCTCATGCTTTCTCTCTCTCTCAAAGATAAAAATAAACATTAAAAAAACACATTTTTTTTAAAAAGAGGCAAGACCTGGCTTAGTATATAGCAAGTGGCTTTATAGGGGAAGTGGCACGAGGGGTGACCCCAGCCTTACCCAGCACGTCTCTGGGCACACAGTAGATATTCAGCAAGTAAGCAGTGATGGTGATTCACTTTAACTAGACTGAACTATGTCTGTGCACCTCCAGGGTCATGGTCAACTCTCTGCCTGCTCCGTAGTCCGCTCTAGCTGTGAGCTCCCCCCACCAGTGACTCATCACTGAACATGGCCTCTCAGTCAATGGGTCCTCCCAGCCATGATGATTTGTGCCTGTCTGCCCACACTTGTTTATTAGCCCGTGATTATTTCTGGTTTTCCCCCAAACAGCGGCACAAGATTGGTCTGCAGTAGCAACCATGGTGCCCACACCCACCTGAGTCTGTGGGCAAGTAGAACACCAGGCCAGTTAGGAAGGAGAAGAGCAGGCAGGGGATGATGACGTTGACGATGAAGTAGAGGGGCAGGCGCTGCATGACGAAGTGGTAGGTGATGTCCAGGTAGGGGGTGGAGGGGCAGCAGGCGTAGGACACCCAGTGCTTCCAGCCCCGGGACTCCTTGATCACCCACTCTCCACTTTCCATGAAGTTGCTTAGGTCTGGTTGGTCGCTTTCCTGAGAAGATGCAATGAAACTTTGAAAGCCCAGCCACATCCCCCTGAGGAGGAGTGGGTTTCAAAATCAGCTGTAATTAAGCAGCAGATTGCGGTGCTGTCGTATACCCAGGACAGGACCCAGGATGGCCACTTCCAGTTTGGGGCCATAGAGTCCTTTTCTATAAAATAAGGGGGTTTGGACTATGCGGATCCTCCATGTTGACTACACATTCAAGTCACCTGGGAACTATAAAACATATTGGTGCCTTCGTCCCACCCCAGACTGATTGAGCCAAAATTCCTAGGACTGAGCCCGGGCACAGGAATTTATGTAAGCTCCCAGGTGGTTCTCCTGGGCACACATCAAGAACCTTCCCCATACTGAGAACCATCGAAGTGGATGATCCCCAAAGTTCAAATGGGTGACTGTGATTCTGGAGGAGCAGAGTCAGACACCTGAATTCTGCGTTTCCGGAGTCCAGTCGCATCATACGAGGTGGGCACCTACCGGGTTAATGGCCACCACAGAGCCGTCATAGGTCCAGGTACCCAGCTTCATGCTGCAGTTCTGTTCATCAAAGGGAAAGTGGGTGACGATGATCTCACAGTAGCTTTTGAAGATGGCTGGAGGCGTCCATGTGATGTGGCCAGTGTAGTCCAGGAGCACTTTGGTGAACTTGACAATGGCAAAGTCACCATCTGCACTGCAATTGGGATCAAAGAGGAACATGACTCCAAGTGACGGATGAGCCTTTGGTTCTGCTCAAGGATGTTCGCAGGAGACAGCTGTTAATTATTTAGGTGCTAATTATAGACGCTTTCATTGGGACAGTGTCACTTTTTATCCATGGCAGTGTTTCCCAGATTTGTCTGATAATAAGAACCACTGGGGTGCTTGTTTAAAATACAGGTTTCTGAGCACCAGCTGAAGCGCTAAGTCAGAATATCTGGGGAAAAACAGAGGCATCTAGTTTTGAGGAGATAACAGGTAACACTGTATACCAGATTTTTTTTCTTCCCAGTTTTCAATAGTGTTGTAATGTTAATTTCCATCTATCCCTCCCCCAGTATATCTTGAAAGTTAACTGGGAAAAAAACCCAGGAATTTAAAATAAAAATAGGTCCAGTAGCTTGTTACTAGGGTAAGCAGGTTAAGGACTCTGTTATCTCTCTAAGAACTATTTAGAACTCTGTAGGGCAGGGCTCAAACCCAGATGCCCCCATGACCAGGCAGCCCAGGAAGGCATGAAGGGTGAGGCAGAACCCTCTCTCCTCTAAGGAAGGTGACACTCCACTTTCTTGTGGCTTCCTTGTGTGAGTGAAGGCCCAAAGCTGCCAGATATTTGGGTTTTTCCTTGGAAGCTGGAAATCTAGATTTTTAATCCAACATTTCTAGATTTTTGAATGTTGGATTTTTCTAGAGACTAAAACTCCAGTTTAATGTGATATTTTAATTTTTTATTTTTTTTACATTTATTTATTTTTGAGAGACACAGACAGAGCATGAGTGGAGGAAGGGCAGAGAGAGAAGAAGACACAGAATTTGAAGCAGGCTCCAGGCTCTGAGCTGTCAGCACAGAGCCCATTGTGGGGCTCGAACTCATGAACCGTGAGATCATGACCTGAGCTGAAGTCGGATACTTACCCAACAGCCACCCAGATCCCCCTAATGTGATATTTAAAAATTTTCAAATGTTGGCACTGATTTCTCATTACAAAGCTCAACATTGTAGATATTAAAAAATAACAAGCTGCTTCTGCAGGCCTTATTCAGTGGGCAGCCCACTTGAACCCAAAGGGCCTGTGTCCTGGGTCCTTGGCCAAAGGCATTTAGAATATGTTGAACAAGTGGGTGAGGTCTGCCTTGGTGGACTTTCAGGGACACATGGCATATATTGGTTCCTTACTTCATTAATGAGGAGATTTTCTTCCTACTCATTTTCCTTGGGATGGAGGTAGAGCTCTATCCAGAAAACTATGCAGTTTTGGACCTTCCCAAAAGAGACCCAAAGAACAGAGGGCCACAGGATTGTCCAGATCTATCTCTATAAGCAAATATAGGGTTCTCGCCAAACCAGGGTGCTCCCGAGCGAGTTTGTCAAAAGGAGGAGCGGATTTTAATTGCTTCTCTTAGATTCTCGCTGAAAGAGAAACTTACACAAGACACTCTGCTCTATCAGCATATTTGTCCAAAAAGGTTATCCAAATGATTGGATAATTTGGCCCAACCTTGAATCTCAAGTGCAATTGGGAAATATGGAGTAGAAAATCAAAGCAGGAGGGCCAGCCTTAAGAGTGTCATTTCCATTCACACGCCCCTGCCGCCCTTCCAGGCCAGTCTGCGAGAAGGCACGGCCTGCTCATGCAGACACATGCTGTAGAATGTCAGGCTGCAGATCCTCCTGGCCGATGGCGGATGCTCCTGCCTGGGAAGGATGCTCTTTGAAATGAACATTCCCTGACAAATGAAGGGCATATGATAATGAACCTGTCATTAAACCAGAGTGTCTGGAATCACATTATAATTTCACAACATGCAGTCTGTCACGGAGCCTGGTGGATGGGCCACGCAGGCATCCCAGGCCACCGGCTGCACACAACGCCTTGGGATACCATGACAGTGTGATGGATAACAACCCCGGGAGGTTCAGACCTATTGGTAGGAAGGACGTTTAATTCCAAGGAACTCAATTATAGGAATTTGGGTTCCTTGGATAGTTGCCATACACCCTTCAGGAACTCTCAGGGATTAAATGTCCCCCACCCCACAGCCCGGATCCAATTTGGCTCTGATAATTGTTTCTATTCATAACATGAGACACCATATGGCGCCCCTAGCATGTCAACTTGGCTCTTGGTTTTTAAGGGTTATTTAATGTGAACAGTGGTGAGAAGCATACTGAGAGTGGCAGCCCTTCCGATAGGGCTCGGGCTCCACCTGCCCCAGGAATGTCGCCCTCCCCAGCCTGTCTGTTTTTGCTTACTTGTTATAGAGAACGAGGTCTGGGCGCCAGATCTTTTCCGAAGGAATGTGAATTTTTTTCACGCCACCATAGTCTTCTGGATTCCATTTTAGGTTATAATCTACCCATTGCTAAAACACAAAGACAACGTTTTGCTAATAAAAAGAGCTAAGAATGTTTTTTAAAAATCTGAGCATTGTGATGGATATGATGATTCAGATATCGACAGCAATTGTGCTCCAGTAAACGGGGCTTGATTCAGAATTCAGCTTTCACTTTAGTAAACGATAACAGCAGATGCCTCTATAGTAGTGACTGCATGCAGACACTGTTCCAAGCATTTTACCCATATTCATCGTGTAGTCTTCACAACAGTCCTATGAGGGAAGAGTGATTATTGACCCCATTTTACAGACGAGAAAACGAAGGTACTTCAGGTCACACCATTGGGTGGTAGCGTGTCTAACATGCCATCCTGCCCAGCCCAGGAAAGGAGAATGACCTTACTGTAGCAGGCAACATCATTTTTTAGAAGTGTTATGTTTTTTTCCTACATTATAAAAGTAATATATGCCCAATGCAGCAAATTCAGATGACACAATGTTATGAATTGAACTGTGTCTCCCCCTCCCCTTTCATATGTAGAAATCCTAGTTTCAAATACCTCATAATATAACTTCGTTTGGAGATAGGGTCTTTCTAGAGGTAATTAGGCTAGAAATAGGTCATTAAGGGAAGCCCTAATCCAACATGACTGGTGTCCTTAAAGAAGGGGACAGTTGAAGACAAACATGTTCACGAAGAATGCCTTGTGAACGTGACGTTGGCCAACTACGTGCAAAAGAGACAGGCCCAGAGCAGATTCTCTCTCACAGCTCTCAGAAGGAGCCAGTTCTGCTGATACCTTGATTTTGGACATTTGGCCTCAAGAGCTCTGAGAGAATAAATTTCTGTTGTTTAAGCACCTAGTTTGTGACTTTGTTTATGGTAGGTAGCCTCGCAAACTAACATAGACAAAGCACAAAGTAAAAAACAAATACACACATACCAACAAATATGATCCATAATCTCACTACACCAAAATATTTACTTTCACCATGTTGGTATGTAACCTTATTACCCAAATTAATTCCCTTTGAGCCCAGGTTAAATTCCTGAGTGAATACCAACAGCATCAATAGAATTATCTAGGTGAATACCTGTTTCAGTCGCACATTGGTTGTCACAATCTGATTTACTTCATCCTGAGAAAAGATAAGGGGTAAAGGGTAAGGGTAAGGTAGGGGTAAGGAGGGGAGGAGAAGGGAGGGTGCTTCAGGGTGAGAGGTGTGGGGAGCCCAGAGTGTGGCCATCTCACCACATTGATGAGTTGTATCAGCTGCAGACCCACAGTGACCTCCACAGCCTGGCGGTGGTCTTCCACTGGCCGAACCACACTGTTGTAATCTTCAAACAGCTTTGCCACCAGGCGGGTCTCATGTTCGGAGCCCAGGACGAGGCCAGCTGAGACAGCAAATGACACACACACTGTCAGATTCTGCTCCCCACCCTCTGCAAACACTCATGTGAGTAATAGAGGAGTGACCAACTAATGGAAGGCACGCAGGCCCCCTTGCTGAAGGGCTCCCAATGCAGCTTATATCGCCCTAAGTTCTTTTCCAATCGCAGCTGCTGGAGTGATCCCTTCCCAGTGGGGTGTGCCAGATTATCCTGACACTTGTACTCTGAACAGATGACATTCCTTAATGCAGCCTCCAGCTGAATCAGGTTTGTTGTTGCACACACACAAGAAGAAAAGTCCATACAAAAGCCAGTCTTTATATTTCAGTCTACTCATGCGGTAATGAAATCTCAGGTTGGCTGGCCTCAGATCTCATAATGTGCTGAGCAGTCGAAAACTGATGCTGGTTCATACCCACTGGGATGGCTGTAATTGATAAAACTGAAAACTGTGGGTATTGGTGAGATTGGGCCACGGTACAGCTGCTGTGGGGGACCATTTGGCGATTCCTCACACGAGTTACATGCAGAGTGACCATCTGACCTAGTGATCCCACTCCTAGGTATATCCCCCAAAGAACTGTCCACACAAAAGCTTGTACACCAGTGTTCATGGCCACACTATATGTAATAACCAAACAATGGAAACCACCCAAATGCCCATCAGCAGATAAGTGGATGAACAAATTGTGGGATGTACATGCAGTGGAATATTATTCAACCATAAAAATGAATGAAGTGTTGATTTATGCTACACCATGGATGAGCCCTGAAAACGTGCGAAGTGAGAGAGATTGGACACAAAGGGGCACATACTGTATGATTCCATTTATATGAAATATTCAGAAGAGGTAAATCCATAGAGCTAGCGGATTAGTGGTTAGTGGGGGCTGAGAAGACAGGGGAAGGGAGAGTAACTACCGATGGGTACAGGGTTTCCTTTCAGGGTGATGAAAATGTTCTGGAACTAGATAGCAGTGATGGTTGCATAACATTGTGAATGCCCTTAATGCCACAAAGTCATCCACTTTAAGATGGTAATTTTATGTAATGTATATTTTACGATGGCAAATTCTATGTAGTGTGTATTTTCTTGTAATTAAAAAAATTACTGCTGGCAGGTACATGTCCCTGTTGAGTTACCATTAAGTAAACACCATGTGCTTTTCTGACCTGGGTTTAGAGCTCCTCCTGTCTGGAGCAGGAGTGACTCCTGGGAATCTTTACTGCATTTTTCTTCAGGGTGATGAGCAATGGTATTTGCTACTCTTGGACCCCACTGACTTTTGATGTCTGATGTTATGCAGTTCCCTCCAGCCTGTGATGAGGCAGGCGGACATTCTCACGTGAGATCTGAGAGGCTGGAAGTCTTGTCCAAGGTCCTGCGGCTGGGGCAGGGCTTGGAAGGAGCCCTGTCATTCTGCACTGTGCTCAGGCACTAACTCGTGAGGTCCCAAGTGTGCTGCGAGCTGTCTTAGAAACTGCACAAATGCACCCACCATTCTTCCCTGTGAGAAAAAGGGTTCCAGATTCCAGCAAGTGCCTTATGAAGAAGGATCTTTGTAACTCAAGCCTTACATGGATTGGGGATTGCCTGTTCAGGGTTAGGAGAGGAAGCAGACACAAGATCCATTTGCCCTAAGTCATGTAACCAGATCTCCCCTTTCCGCAGGTTATTCCTGAAGCCACCATACCTTCTCCCTGGGCCATGAGAACTTCAAAATTGCATGAGCAAGATGTTATGCTTTTCCCCCCATAATGTTGACTAACCCATTGCCTCTAAGACAGGTTAGTCTTTTTCTTTATTATTTTTCTCCTTGAATCCTAGGTTTGAAAAAGTTTGTCAGCCAAGTAATTGTTAAGTATAAAGTAATTACTTTTTCTATTTTTATTAATTAATAAAAATAATCACTGGCATATCAAATCTGTTATGTGACAGACCCTCTTCTGTGTGTTTTGTACTTATTGACTCTTTTATTTCTTGTAACTGGGTGGGCACTAGGCACTGTTCTTCTCTTCACTTTACAGTAGGGGAGGAAATTGAACCATAGAGAGGTTGAGTGAGTTGTCCAGATTTCATAAACAGTGGAGCCAGGATTCAAGTCCAACACCCATGCTCCCCACCACTATTTCTCATCCAGAACTTGGGATCAGCTTGAAATAATCAAAGTCATATCATGACACTGAAACACTTTCATCCCTGAGAAAATGTGTATTTTGTCAGTAGAGCTTCATTGAAGGCCCTATCTTTGTACTATCTTATTGAATCCTTATAATAATCCTTTACCCCCAGTTTACAAGTGAGAAAATAGGCATTCAGACAGTAGAAGCACGTGTTCATGGCTCCTGGCTAGTGGGAAATGGGGTTATAAATGCAGGAAATCGGACCCCAGGGTCTGTGCTCTTTGCCACCTCCCTAATGGTAAATGTATCGTTTCCATTTGGATATTTGAAGCTTTCAGTGTAGCTTATTAAATGTCTTCATTAATGGATTTTATGTATGGAGCCCCTGACCAAGCCTACCTCATTGCTAGTTTCCCAAATATTCTGAACCCCAAAGCATCCATACAGCACTTACACCCAACAGCTCACCCAAACCACTTGCATTCGAGGACCCTTCTAAGGAGCATGTTGTCCAAAGACCCAGTTTTTGCTGTCACCCCATTGGCCACCTGGGACATAGCAATCCTCTGTCTTCCACACCTGTCTATCCTGGGCCCCTCCTGGCTCTGGGTAGGGCACTGTCATGGGTCACTGAGTGCCTTGGCTACAAAGTTTGACGATATTTCTTTGGTACTGGCTGGGTTGCTTATCTTTAAGTGACTGTTTATTCCCCTTTGACAGGAAGAACATACTGGAAAGCAACAGATAGAGCAGATGGTCTACATTATGTAGCAGGAAAACTATGCAGGCCAACTCTATGGTCCCCTGGGGAGAAGGCAAGGACTGGGGAGACAGGCCCAGTCAGCATTCCAGGGACATTCGCTTCCTCTCTCAGTCTCACTAAGAACAAGAGACCTTATTCCTTCCGTAATGCATTTCTAAGGACTTTAGAAAGAGGTCTCCATTTCTTAAATTGGGTTCATTGTTTGTTTCTTTTTTTGTTCCCAAAGCAGGGCAGTGTAATAGAAAACATACAAGACTTGAAGTCAGAATTCTGTGATTCTGTTCCCAAGTTCAGTGTGGTCTGTATAATTGGACCAGTTCTTCATGGAATCAATGAATCACAGTAGATACTTTCTTTAAAAGACAGGGTGTAAATTAATATACATACACACAAATAAATAATGTCAAAGTCCTTTTCAGCAAAATCATATGGGTAACCTTTATTCAGATGGTGGTAACATTAATTCATTAAGTATTTGTTGAGCACTTCCTGTATGCAAAGCATTGTTTTAAGAGCTTTGAGATATTCAGAGATGAATTTAATATGAATCTTTCTACCTTCATGAAGGTTGACATTTGTCATTTACACAAAGAGGAACAAGCTGCAAAGTGATGTCATAGAAAGGTGGCAGTGAAGTATTTGGGATTCTGGACATGGAAGAGAGGAAAAGGTTGTAATGAAAGGTGCTATGCAAGTAGAACAGAGATCATTATGTCTGTTCTGATGTGAATGAGAATTTTGGCCACAAAGAACTGATTCTAACTAGGGGAACCCAGCCACAATTTCAAAGTGTTCTTTTTGTACTATACTGGGTCAATTGGCATTTCTTAAAAAATTTTTTTTAGCGTTTATTTATTTTTGAGAGAGAGAGACAGAGCACGAGCAGAAGAGGGGCAGAGAGAGAGGGAGACAGAATCTGAAACAGGCTCCAGGCTCTCAGCACAGAGCCCAGGGGGGTGCTCAAACCCAGGAACTGGGAGATCAGAGGCTGAGCTGATGTCAGACCTTAACAGACTGAGCCCCCCAGGCATCCTCCAATTTGCATTTTTATGGAGGAAGAGCGTGATGAATTGGTCAAAAGGAGTTCTGAAATGTTACTAGTTACTTTAGGGAGTTCTTATCTCAACCTGGTGCCCCATCTCTTGCAACCTTTGACACTTGCAGGCTGTGTTTTCTAATGAGGCCCATGATAAACAGAGTCTCCAACTGGTCATGTTCCAACATTTATAAATTAAGTGGCCTCAGGCAGGTCAGTTCATGTCTTTCAGCTTCAGTTTTCCTATAATAACAAATTTAAGTTGTGGAACTTGCTTCATCTAGCTCTAAATTTCTCTGAACTCCTATGTGAACTGAGACCAGGAAACTCTAGGTTTGATCTGAATATATATCACATGCTGTTTTAGTCAGGTAAACATGCATTTTCAGGGGCCTTCAGTGTCCTAAGAGATCACCTAAGGATTTTCACATGTAAGTATATCACTTAAGAATTTTCATTGAGTGTAGGGGCGCCCGGGTGGCTCAGTTGCTTAAGCCTCCGACTCCAGCTCAGGTCATGATCTCATGGTTCATGGGTTCAAGCCCCGTGTCGGGCTCTGTGCTGACAGCCAGCTCAGAGCCTGGAGCCTGTTTCAGAATCTGTGTCTCCCTCTCTCTCTGACCCTCCCCTACTCACACTGTCTCTCTCTCTCTCTCAGAAATAAATACAACATTTAAAAAAACTTTAAAAAAAGAATTTTCATTGAGTGTAGTTTGCAGGCACATACATGCTTACACATGCATGTGCACACACACACAGTGCCACCATCACTGCCACTGACCACCACCACTACCAGGCCAGTCTGGGTTGGATCAAGTCCAAATCCCACAGACTGTAATTTATCTGAGCTTAGGGTATTTCCCTGAACTATGCTATTGAAAAACATTAATAATAAAGCTCTTTACCTTTTTTGCCCAGAAGGCCTGTGTTTGTCAGAGGAATATTAGAGAAGAGAAATCACAGAATGTCAGCCGTCTCATTTCTCAGTTGGGATGATATCACCAGTAAGCTTTTCTGTGAAGCAATCAGCAAACATCTACTTCCCCTTACCAGAAGTTTGGGATTAAGGGTAGTGTTTCA